TTGACGTAACTCTAGACTTACCTGGCAACACATACCAATACCTTATAGCAAACCTAATGCTAACCCTTTATATATACACCCGAAGTCAAACCACCCTCCATCCATAATTAAACATATACCCTCATCAATAGAAAATAGAATTAGCATTAACTCCGCTAACAAGGAAATATTCCAACAACACAATGGCTTCTATAACACTGCCCTAAAAATAGTGGTTAAACAGTATTAATAAAAACCCTGCACTTAAATCAGACAATAAAAGGGAAAAATTATGTACCTGTAGAAACCTAGAAGACTGCCCATTAGAAAATGAATGCTGCATTAAATCAGTGGTATACCAATGTACTATATCATCCAATGAGAGCCCTAGCACTAATAAGATATACATTGGGTCCACGAAGAATGATTTTAAAGATAGATGGAGGCAGCTTAAGTGTTCTTTCAATAATATAAACAAAAGAAATCAGACTTCCCTATGTAAATATTTTTGGCATTTGAAGGAAACAAATAGGACACCTAAAGTTAAATGGAAAATTATTAACAAGGCTAGAACATGTAAAACTTGGGATGACCCATGCCCTTTATGCCTCCATGAGAAATTGCACATAATTAAGCTTCTAAATAATAATAATAATCTATTAAACAATAGACACGAGTTAACGGTTTTTTGTAGGCATCATCAGATTTTTGGTTTGAACTATTAGCTAAAAACTAGCATACAATATAATAACTTGTTTAATCCATAGCCCACTCATCAGATTCATGATTTGAATAATTAACTAAAAACATGCATACAATATAACACCCTTCATAATCCATAGCCGAAATAAATAGTTTAAGTACCCTAAAAAAAGATAACCCTTTATGAAATCGTCAAAAAACAAACGTTACGACAGTTTTTGTTTGATTTTTTTTTTTTTTATATGCACTAATCCCTTTCAAAAAAAATAAAAAAATAAATAAATCTCCATGGACATGCAAACTAGACGAGGGTTAATACATCTTCTGTTTCAAATTTAGACACCCCCACCTTTCACTGACTTGACATCTACGAAAGTAACTCTATACTGATACTTATTATTAACACCCAACACCCGCCTACCCAACTTAAACAATTCGCCCAAGCTGTTACCATGGAAATTTTGATTTCAATTTTTAAAACACGTAAATTTCAGAAACACGTTATTCCAAAAAAAATTTCGCTTGAAGATGGATCAGAGCTTATTTTAACTCAATTTAATTTAAATAATTTAAATAATTATATTGAAGTTTTCGGCTCTTGTTTTGAAACATGGGACTTCTTATGTCGCGATTTGGAATCATATTTTTAAATAAATAATTATATTTATGCTCTACTTTTGTATCGAGCACTATTTTTTAAAAATAATAACTAAAATACTAAGGGACTTTGGATTATTTACCTAACCAGTTCCTTCCTATTTTCTATATATTTTCACATATATATATATCCTTTCACATATATATATCCTTATTTTTCCTTGATAAAATGTTCTTTGAAGCTTTAAAATAAAAAGTTATTTCATATTTAGACTTTTTTTTAGCACCGTTCTGATCTTTATGCTCGCTACTGTATATATGTATTAATTTTCTCTATATAGGCAGATTATTATTTTCATTCAGTCATGTTTGTGGAAAGAATTCAGACGTATTACGTCTATTTCTTTTAGTTTTACACCTTTCTAGTCTACACCAAACTTATAACATGCTTATATATATATATATATATATATATATATATATATATATATATATATATATATATATATATATGCACGGATAATAATTTGAGAGATATACATAAATACGTAAGGTCTGCTAGCCAATCTCTATTGCAGATAGGGATTGGCTGCATAAGGTTTTTAGTTTTTTTACAAGCTTTCATCTGTTCATACATTTTTTTTAGTTTTTTACAAGCTTTCATCTGTTCATACAGTATAAGTGAACATTGAATTCCACACTTAGAGGCGACAGACTTTTTCATGTTAGACGCAATCGTCAGGCCACTCTTGTTGAAACAGTCTGTGGCCTCTAAGTGTCGTCGTATGAAACAGACTGTGTCCTCTAAGTATTGAATTCAATGTTCACTTTTATATTTACACAAACTCTATCTCTGATATTGAGCACTTTATCCCATAAATATAGCATACCTTAAGAATATATTTCTTCATATATATATATATATATATATATATATATGGACTAACCAACACACATATATGCACCCAACAAATAATTGTGTGTATATAGTACCAAATTACAAAATACCTATATACACCAAGAAAGAATTTAGCACATAGCAATAGTTAGATGTCCGTCGATCTGAAATCGGACACCTGCTCATCCATATAGACGTAATTATGCACACTCTCAAATATTACGAACTCATTCTCAAACCCGTAATATATTGTTGCACACCCATAACCGGCCATAATTTCTGTCTTGTCTTTCTCTAAAACGAGTTTATATAATGAAAGATTAAATGGCTCCATTCGGCTTATATTTTTATTCGTTCAATCGTAAATCTTGCCGCTTATTCACCGAAGAAGTTTCAAAAATACCGTTTGATTGTTTGCCGGCCATTATCGCGCTAACTTGGCTCTCATAAATCAATTTACCGATTACAGCTTTTCACGACACACAACTAAACTAGACATCTCTTTTTCAAATATTGGCTACCGTTTCTCCTTTCTTCCAACTTACCTATCGACATTTTAGCTCACGAGTCTCATCCCGCATTTTTGGACAAAAGATTTATATATGCGTTCGATCCTTGTATGGTGCCCCATAAGAGTTTGTTTGTGCGAGACCAAGTGTGATTTAGTCAACATGTACGTGACTTTGAATCAGATTTTCTGTCATTACATTATATCGTAATTTCATCAATGAATATATAAGAGAGTTGATTATTTAATTCCTAGAATGGACCTGTATAGCGAAGGAAACGGCGACTTACCTCGTCAAACCAAGCGACAGCGCGTCGCGTGTATCCTACGACGAAAAATGTGGCAAAAAAGTAATGACTTACAAAAACAAAAAGGACATGTATTCCGCATGACATCCTGAAGACGAAATATTTAAATTAAAAAAACAAGTCAGGAGTCGGTAAAAAAATATTTTGATATGCAAAAATTGGGCGTCGATGAATGGAAAAAAATGCTCGGCGATAAAAGCAGTTGGTGTTCTCGAATCGAGGAAGATTCGTTTATTTTGTCTACTGCGTTTATCGGATACTCAGTTATTTTTATGTCTGGTTACGTGCATTGTGATTCGTGTGATAGTACCCGCGAATAGAGTTTTCGGCTTTTCTTTCAGCCCCCGATATTCGAGTCTGAACACACAGTGATTTATTCTCTGCGTTGTGGAAGTAATCCGCGATAAATATTTCCTTTGCTTTCAGATCGCTTACAACCTGTGAAACCAAAGTTCGCTTGCTTGGTTATCGGCGGCTATTGTCATCTTGAAATTACTCTTACTTTTAGTGCTATTAAACAGGGAATATTTTCAGTTACCCCATTATAGGCATTAGTATGTCTATGTTGTACAAACACTTTAACACAAAGGAAAGAAAAATTAGAAAGACTGAAAAAATGGGAATATAAATATGCATGTCTGAAAGCGATTTTATCTACTGCTATGTCATACAAGAAATTAAGAAATTAAGAATAAATATGTGTATAACTATTACTCTCAAAGAGAAACTATAACACGAATACAACAAGAGTAAACCCAGGAAAAGCGTGAAACTTTTACTTTCCTTGTTTTACTAATATTTGCCGAACAGTAGACGGCCAACCTAGTAGTTTCCTCTACATTCCTTGATAGGACCACTTAATTTCCATTTGTTCGCCCTATCGTTGTGGGCTTGAGACATTTATCTTCCCCGTGGTCTACGTAGCAACTGGGGTTTTTTTTTCAATCAACGGCCGTCACGAGATTCTCGTGAATTTATCTTATAAAAAGGGAGATAATCATCTTCTGCGTCTCTACAACCCCACTATGTGATTCTGTGCACTTCCTTAGACGATGGTGCCGTAGGTGGAAATATTCTTGGAACTTATTTTCAGTGGGTGTAATGACAAAGTGCTGGATATCAAGTAAAAAAAAAAATGTTTGTCATATCTGCGTATTTTACACAGGAGTAGACTGACACTGATAAATAAAGTAATTGTCCTATTTCTGAAACAGATCTCACCGCCATGAACTGCTCCTAACGCATCATTATCGTTCAGCAAATCGTTTGTTAGAATCTGTCACCTACTTTTCTTGTTCATATTCAGCAACCTGTTCTATTATCAATCGTAGACTCTTCGATTTTAACGCAACAAGATTCGCACTCTACCAACACCTGGATTTGTTGCTTACTTTTTAGTTTTGCCCACTTTTTGAAACCCGATGTACATCCAGTCACCTTTGAACTGCCTGTGCCAATCGAGAACATTCGATTTTTTTCAAAGAGTGTTTACCATAAACCACTGTAATAGAGCAAAACTGTCACTAGCAAATTTGCTCATCTTCTGAGTAAACAATATTAGTCCATAAGTTCTTATGTCTTTCACTCATTGTCCACTAACAGCGTAGCATAAACACCTACAACTTCCAAGATAGGTGACATTTGTATATCAATAACATAGAAGCTTCAGTCGATCTACCTATTTACTAAGGTAGCAAGATCATTGTCCACATCGTATCTATCGAACTATCTATCTTGTCCTCTCTCTCTCTCTCTCTCTCTCTCTCTCTTCGTGTGTCTGTGAGTGTGTTTGTGTGTATGTCCCTATTAATACCCACTTATCCAGATACATATGAAAAACATGAAATATATACACAGATATATATAGAGAGAGAGAAAGAAAATAATGACATTTTTATATCAATATCATTTAAGATTCAATCTATCTAGCTAACTCGTATCTATCTATCTATCTATCTATCTATCTATCTATCTATCTATCTATCTATCTATCTCTGTTCATAGCTATTTATCCAGACACATATGAAAAGATAGATAAATAGATAGATAGATAATAAATAGACTGAGATAGATAGATAGATAGATAGATAGATAGATAGATAGATAGATAGACTGAGTGTTGTGGGGCTCTCCCCTTTTTACATAAGAATGTACTCGTCCAAAGTATACTTATACTGATAGAGATAATACCTGCTGTTGAGATACGTTGAGATACGTTGAGATACATGGAGATACGTTGAGACAGGTTGAGAGATAAGGAGACAGACACAGGGTGTTCTCAGAGAGTTATACAAGAGTCCAGAGAGAGAGAGAGAGAGATTACGGCTTTACTTACAGAGACTTGTACATGTACTTTCTACTAACTCGCATTTCTGGACGACTAATCTTCAATTCAAGTCTGTATTCTTACGTTTAATACACTTATTTTTCTATCTCAATTACTGGCGTTGTTTATTTATTTGTGCAGAATTCCATTCACGGAATCCACAACATTGAGATAGATAGATAGATAGATAGATAGATAGATAGATAGATAGATAGATGATAAATAGACTTAGATAGATAATAGACTTAGATAGATAATAGACTTAGATAGATAGATAGATAGATAGATAGATAGATAATAGACTTAGATAGACTTAATAGACTGAGATAGATAAACTTAGATAGATAGATAGATTGATAATAGAGTGAGATAGATAGATAGATAGACTTAGATAATAGATAGATGATAAATAGATAGATAGATAGATAAAAAAGATAGATAGATAGATAGATAGATAAAGATAGAAAAAGATAGAAATATACTTCATTTTTCAATATTTGTATATAATTTCCAATATTTTTGAGATTGGAATTCACCTACTTCTTACATACGCATCATATAAGATCATTTCATTTTTTTTCTAACAAACTAACCCCCGTATTTACTTGCCACTTCGTATCCTCTATATTCTTCATACATCTACGCTACTCCACCAGGCTGTAATCATGAATATACGATTGACTCGCCGTTAGTTCATTACACTAGAAACTTGATTACTGCGTGTAACCAGCCACCCGTAATATCTCATTATAAAGCTTCCGTCAATCGGATAATTATTGTATTTTCTGTAATTACCTCTGCATCTGCTAACTAACATCCGCACCTCACTGATTGCAATAATTTAGGAAAGAATTTGCTTTCTGCTTAATTACAATGTCAAACATTTATATATTCACACTCTTAAAATCAGGGTCAATTCTCTCAATTCACTACTTTGCGCGTTGTATCTCATGGCAATGTTGAATCTACGAAAAGTTCTAACGTCTATTGATTTCACATATTGAATATTTAAATCTGATTCCTGATGCAAGAATCTAATAACGGGGCACGTCAGAACAACGTTGGAAATGTTTTAAAATATGCGCAGTTGTCAGCGTCTGAGTTAAAGATAACGAATTCTAGTATATCTAGTAACACAACGAAAAAGATATTTAGAGAATTTTGTACTTATGTCGCAAATTTTCAACCATTCTCCGATGACATGCTTCCACTTGTTCCACAACTACTAACATTTTAACACAGCAGAAGGAAAAACCATTAAGACTACCGTCCTAGGTATGACGATATACTAGACATGCGTCCTGGGTAAGACGATAAATTACGATCAACAGCAAGGCCTCTGATCTGCAGGTTTTAAGGAGCGTGTAACCACCTTAATTTCTGGTCTTCCCAGGTCCAACCTGACCGGGGGGGTGGCACCTGTTAGAGAAAATAGTTAACCCCCAAACTGGAGTCAAAACACTATGAAAGTTTAAAAATAGGTTCTAATACCAGAAATATTTTGTAAAAAAATTATTAGTAGCAATAAATTTTTGAAGAAAAATTATTACCAGCAATACATTTTTGAAAAAATATCTATTACCAGCAAAACATATTTGAAAAAAAATTATTGCCAGCTATACATTTTAAAAAAAAGAAACTATTATTAGCTATACATTTTTATATATATAAATATTGCCAGCTATACATTTAAAAAAAAATTACCACTGATACATTTTTTAAATAAAATATTACCACCAATAAAAATATTGTCGGCATTAAATAAACCATTGAGGCTGATATGCCGTAAAACAAAACAAACCAAACTAATAAGACTGACAAAACAGAAACATAAATATGCATTGTTCTCAAAGTGATTTTATATACTAGAAATTACGGTCAAATATGTATATAACTATCACTATTTATCCCACATAGAGATACATATACGAACACAACAACAAATGTGAACTGGGAAAAAAATCGAGAGGGTCTTACTTTCGTTATTTAACTTATATTTGCTGAATAGATAACAGCGAAGCCGGTGGGTTTCTCTACGTTTCTTGGTAAGACTACCTGGTATTCATTTATTCACCTTACCGATGACAGCTATTTTCTTTGTGACCTTTTCACTTCAGGTAAGACAAAAAAGTTACTGAGATGCACGTGATTATTGAAAGTGAAAAAAAAAACTGTTAAAATATTACTGAGGAGAAGACACAATGAAAGGAGGCAGGCATTGCATTTATATCTTTGAATATTGTATTTGTCAGTTAAAGCAGATATTTCCAACGGCGAAGAGTGCGAGAGATTAAACCCTTACAGTAGAACTAACGTTTACTGTTAGTCTAGCTTGATATTTAATTCTATATTTAAATTCTTGAAGAACAGATGTCAAAGAGGAAATCCCATCAAAACAATTGCTATGGAAATATTCATGGAAAAGTCACAGGGAAGCCCTGGGAAATTTATTAAAGCCGAGATGCTAATTCAGGACTGTTAACATTGCAGATTACCTATTTTTATAATGAACTAGACACCGATCTGATGAATGAAAGACCTATTTATCTGGCTGCTTGAATTTACCTTAAATTACAAACATTTACAGATATCTTGCTTGCTTAGCTGTTTATATTTTTAAGATGAGGTATTATGTACACTATTTACATTATTCGGACTATTGTCCTTATCTTTGTTGTCATATTTATCACAAAGATTCGGCCGTTGTTCGCTCCGGCCTTCTTCAGGTGGTTGGAATATCGAATTGAACCCTTCATTTCGCTCGCTGGAGTAGACTGTTCTAGTTTTAGGCACCATGTCTAATAGTTATCAGTTATCTCCTATTAATTTCCCTCTCCAGGTTCTCCAACGCCTTAACCAGGTATTGAACTCACACTCTTTGGGTTCTGTCACTGGATCTAACCACCGCCTTTATTCACTGTGCCATTTGTCTTTGCCTCCTCTTGTTCCCTAGTGCAACTTATTTGTATAATGCAATGGACATCTATCAGATGAATGAAAGTGATTTCTATCTAGTGACTTTCCAAACGTAGCTTAGATGTGGCACAAGGCCGAAATTATGGGGAGAACCAGTGAGAATCGAACTCACTACTCAGTCGTAATTGTTCTAGCGAGACAAGCTTGATAACGATTACACCACCTTCTGTCTATGTGGCTTCTTGAAGTCCATCGATTTTACAAAGATTCTCAGATTGTTTGCTTCGCCTTGTTATATAAATATTAACAGTTAAAATCATCAGCAATAATAAAATTGACGTCTATTAGTTGACTGACGAGCCTTCAATTTTTGAGGCTGCTTGAAGGCATTTCAATTAGCACAGATTCATATATAAATATGAATCTTCGCTAACTGCAATGCATTTCTTTCGCTTGTCTTATTGGCAATGGTAATGGCAGCATGAGCCGTTTCCCTACAAGGAAACATTTAGCATTCATTGACCAAGCAGCCAGTACTACTTTCTGTTGAAATTTATACAATTTATCCCTTAAAGCATTTTCTTCTTGAAAATTAGTTTCTCATGTCCAGTAACTGTTATGGCAAATTAATTTAACGGGACATCTTCCTTGCCTTTTCCTTGAGGTAGTGTGGAATACTAGTATTCTGATTAAATTATTATTCTCTCTTTGACATTCATGCAATATCTATTATTATCATCAACCATAATAAAGTAGTCATCTATCAACTGAAAGAAAGACACTACCATCTATGTGGCTGGTTGAAGTCACTCCAGTTGATAAGGATTATCAGATGAGTTGCTTACCCTTGTTCTGTAAATGTTACCAGTTGATAAACTTCACTAAATTGATAGTATTTCTTACAGAATGTGAATATATAATAAGCGCATGCCATTTCTGACAATGACAGTATTTCCATGGAATATGAATGGAATCCATAATTTCATTAATTACGTAAAGCAATGAAATAAACTCTGTTACCTTGTGTAAGTCACGGTCACACATATCGTGCGACCCTCAAACTTTCACTTATAAAAATGATTTTATCATGTATCTCGTGTATCATGCTAGTTCCTTTTTGGAGAGATCAAATTACAATAGACTAATCTCTTTTCCTCTAGCTCTTTATCCCATCTAGTTAAATAACTTAAAAGTAAAAGAGAATGATAAAAGCATCGTTAGTAACGCTATACTCGTTGTGTAAACACGTCCAGCTATAAACAACCGAACGAGAAACAGCTAAACATCTTATAAACGAAAACAATAGAAAATATGCATGTTTTGATTTTATAATGCGATATTAATATGTGAATATTACATGCATTATTATTGGATACATTTAAGTAAAACATAAATTTTATCAAAACAATATTTATTAAAAATACAGCTGTAGAGTTAAATATAGTAAGAGGATATATAGTTTGGTCAACGGTGTAGCCAGTACATATGCTAATTGTATATCTCGGGTATGATGCCACCCGCTTAAAATTGGCTCTAAAATTAGGTCTTCAAAATTCGTCTGATAGGCGAGTATCTACGGTACTCGGGGAACAACAGATTTACAAAGGTATAACTACATTGATACTCGTTTCGTTTTATTATGACTGTTTTTATTGCAATAAGCAACTTTCGTACCTCTAGTAAGATCCTTAAATAAAAATAAAAAAACTATTGATTTATTAACATTATTATTTAGTTACGTTGTTCTGGAATTGTCATCAGTGGTCAACTGAACTTGTTTTGTTTTGAAAAAAATATTTTTGGAAAAATGTTTTTTTTTCAAAATCTAGCCAAATTTTTTTTCTAAATACTGTTTGTTGCTTTTGAAAGATCCTCGTAAAAAAAATAAAATATTCAACGCTAGTCATTTACGAACGTAAAGAAAGATAAATCCGTTTTGAATTATTAGCATTCAGACTAAAGTCTTCATCTTTGTTGTTATTATCACATCGTTGTTGTTTTCTCTGACATTCTGCGAGTGTCCCGCAACACGCAAAAATATTTTCAATGTAAATACATTATTAAATCTTGATTGTATATGGTTTTCTTTACGATTGCCTTGCCTAGAGTTGTGTCCTTTCCTTTCTTTAGGGTTTATCAGTTATTGATCAGGCTATAATGTAACTGGTTGAAAAAAAAACAGGGTTTAGGAGAGATAACAAAAAGGCAAAATTACAAAAAGAGAGAAACTTGTGGAGAGTCATGATCGGCAACGTCCTGAACGGATATAGCCCATAAATGATCATCTCTTGGAGACAGAACCTATTCATTCTTGAGTGACATGGGGTTGTATGGTACATATATTATCGTTTGTAAAGATGAATGTGTTTATCTCCAGACATTTGGAAATTACTCTTTATATAACAAGAAAATCAAAAGAAATCAGTAAAAACAGCAGAAAAGAAATAAAATTATGGACTATCGCAAGTCACTTTGTTACAAATCGGTAATGCATGACTCAGCGATTGAACTTAAAATTACTATGTCTCGTAATGAATAAATCGTCAAAGCTAATAATTCCCAGGG